TTGATGTTCTAAACTGGCTCTAAACTATGTAGGAGAGGGGTTCAGGGAATCTTTGCCACACTGCATGTAATTTAAATGACTAACCAATCACCTTACCAAAGTTTTGCTTCACTGGAACCTTTCTGACAACTGCTTCTCCATTCATGAACTTGGGATAAACAACATTGCATTGTTCAACACCATTTTTCATTCTTGTTTCCCGAGATAGGTTTTGATTGAAATGGATGACCGCTAATGCATGCCTGCAACAAATGACACATGTATACTCCTTATGATCTAAGGCATCTTTGACACAATTTGCACTGGTGGTGGAAGGGTGCACCCCCCTGAAAAATCTGCACCCCCCCCTCTCAGATGAGACTGGAATGTCCCTGTGCAGTATTCAAAGTGTATGCCAAACCCCTACATCATTACAGTATCTGTACAATACATACCTACAAAACATTCCTCTGTAAGTGTAGCCAATCATCTTGGGAAAGAATTGATTCAGCACAGAATGGAATCCTTCTAAACAACTCGTTTGTTCGATTGGGGAAGCTTGCTTTATTCCTTTTACCAGCCTTTTGTTAGTGAGTGATTAACACATTTTTTCATATGCAATAGAATTTAGGAAAAATGTCATAACAAACATTACCAGCCTACATGTAGATGATCATAACAAAGGGGGCAGAGGAGCAATCATGTTTTGTTTTATTTTGAATAAACAATCGAATGACTTACCTTGTTATCTAAATATCATCTTTTGCAATTAATTGAATTCATCCATCAATTAATTCCACTTAATTCAAGATATAAAAACATCACAATGTATAGTTTATATATTTTCATATTCGAAAAGTTTTGTTTTAGACTCGTGTATAACCGCAACCCACTACACTGCAGGCTTGCATTGCCCGAATCGCAAACGAAGTTCGCAAACGAAGTTTGCTTTGGGAAACGATGTGCACCTCAGGGAGGGACGAAAGAAAATTGAGAAAGGGAAGAAACTTCCAATATTGCATCGTTGCATTGTGCACCGCAACAACTAGTGATGGAAGTGACGTACAGGAGGTGATTCCACTTAAATTCTGTTGCTAATTATATTCTGTTTTTTTTAAAATAAAAACAACAGGTGTGGAGGGAAATTTAAATATTTATATTGTAGAATGGACAGATCTATTCTTAAACGACACACATCCCATATAGAAATAAACAATAAATCTAATAAAAAACCAAAGTTGTACAACAGAAAAAAACATGTTATTGTTTCAATTTGGTAAAGACGTTTGAAAATAACTGAACACTATAATATTAATTTAAACCCGTATAAAAACATATTTTTTGCTTAGTCTAAATATATAATAGCTAAATATATACTGCTAATTTGATATACCTTAATATAGTATGTTTCTATAAGAAAAAAATATACTGTATTTGCAGGCTTCGAATAAATTACTGAACAGATGCAGACAGTACTCAATCATTTGTGACACTTCAAAATATTCTTCAAGAATACAATAATAATTGGTCTGAAAAAGAAAACTGCGACCTGCATGTAGTTGAATTAGGGAAAATTTTGGCAGAGGTTTTCCCAAATTTGAATAAATTCCAAAAAAGAATAAACGGGACGAGAACGTGGGTATACTCGCTTGTTAAAAACAATGGAGTGATGATTCTATTCAATGGGAAAACCTACCGGATTTTATTACGGCTGAATTTGGTTGCTTATTGGGAAATCAAACTATTGATTTGTGATATTTGATTGTAAAACTGCGTAAAACCACTTCCTGTCATGCACAATTCAACTCTTCGTCATTTCTGTCACTACTTGTTGCGGTGCACATCATACAAAAATAGCGAAATATGTACCAGCATTTTATTCGTTATATTTGTAGGTCTAACTACCATTTTCCCAGATTTTTTAGTTAAATATTGAGACTATATCCTTTCTATGTTGTGTGCATAATATGGTGTGTTTCTGTAGAATTTTAATTATGCGAATTATGATGTTTTGAAAGTGACGTCCGAATTCTAAATTTGGAAGTTTCGTCCCTTTCATTATATTTAGCTTGTAAACAATCTAGCGAAAGCGTTCGTGCCTGCAGTAATTTGGCGTGCCGTCAATGTGCAAGTTGCATTACTTCATTTAACTTCAACCAATATAATATAGTAGTTATTTAATGATATTTTTGCCTTTTTTGTGCTGCAAAAAATTTATTTTTTAAATAACAAGGTCAGTTCCTCAGCCTCCTGTGTCAGAATGGTTGAGATAAAACAGTGCAAAATGTGTGCAGGTGTAGTACCTTTATCCAGGGGTACCGGAGCCACAGGGGCAGCGCAGGGTCAACTGGTTGCCCCTTTTTGTGACAACAAAAGGATTAAGTCATTAACTAATAAGTTTAAATATGTTTGAAGCGAAACCAGGATTATTCATAATAAGTTTTTAGACGTTCTCTGGTTTTTAAATATTTATTATTACGAGCTTTCGACTGCCAGTCTGCAGTCTTCAACGGGTGGATTACAATGAAAGTAATGTCATTGTAATCCACAATAAAAAATGAACACTATAATATTAATTGAACACTGAACTGAACACTATAATATTAATTTAAACCCGTATAAAAACATATTTTTTTGCTTAGTCTAAATATATAATAGCTAAATATATACTGCTAATTTGATATACCTTAATATAGTATGTTTCTATAAGAAAAAAATATACTGTATTTGCAGGCTTCGAATAAACAATAACATGTTTTTCATTGTAATCCACCCGTTGAAGACTGCAGACTGGCAGTCGAAAGCTCGTAATAATAAATATTTAAAAACAAGAAAAAGTCTAAAAACTTATTATAACTAATAAGTTATTAAATAAGTTATCATTGTTGACTTGTCATATGTATAAGTATATATTATGACCACGTTCATTTCATGGTTCATTTACGCATTACCCGGGCTATGTTGATCGCCTTGTTAGTTATATAAGCCTTCTACATTTTTCTAATTTCTTCACACACCTAAATTTCTGTAGTTGATTAGCGCAGTCATCCTCTGGCACTACAATAACACATTCGTGATAAGTCTTGCTCTGTTCTACATGGTTTTTAAAGCATTCCAGCTAGGGACATAGCCATGACTAGCAATGTATCTGTCCACAAATGCTCGACCAGGTCTGCCCTCTGCCCCCGCCCAAAAAAAAATGTTTCTCTTGAAATAAGTTTGAAATAAGATCTTTATCTTCTAAAAACATAATTCTTAGCAATCAAAAAACATATGCAAAACTACACTCAAAACTGAAGAGCAAACAGCTTGGTTACCTCACTAACATACTGCCAAAGTTATTCGATCTTAAAATCAGCCTAAAATACTTATATATTTCAAATACAAAGGATATATATTTCAAATACAAAGGAAATTGTAGCTTGTTTGTTTGTGGATGTATGTGCAGGGATGTGCAGTGACTGTTTAATGTGACATATTATAGCAAAATTTAAGCTTATACGGTTGTACTAATTACTACATGTTTCCAGCTTCTTGTGATTTTCCATCCAAGATATGCAAGCTCTTTATGTTTAGTTTTTAACTTTTTAGTTTGTTTAACTTCTTTGCCTCTACTATAAATAATTAGAAGCACTGAACTGTGATAGCTAACTCACTTTTTTTTCGTTGGGATATACGTTGGCATATGCAAGCAAACAAGGATTACATATTAGAGTTGTCGGTTTTATAGTGCAGTGTTACAATCGGTTATTATCGGTTTATTATTCCTTGATCTTATTATATATCAATTTAGTTTACTCTACATTATTGTGCGAGTATATTTGCATCAACTGTATTTGTGTTAGCTTGCTATTGTAACAATATTTTGCGCTCTTTCTGTTTTGCCTTGCACAATGTTTGTGACCTACATGTTATTATCTTCATAATCTATTCATAATCTATTAAAAATCTATTAAAAATCTGATCTTGTATAGAAATATTTGGCTGCAAACTGTGAGACTTCATTAGCTACCAAAATATTCCACCCATATACTTAAAACTTTCACTGTTTTTTGTATTTTATGTGATGTTTATTAATTCTCAAAATTATGTCAAATCTCTGCCCAAAATGCATGAAATGGCATTTCAGAGACTCTAGATATCAAATTTCCCGGGAGGGATGCCCCTGGACGCTGTAAGAGGTTTCGCGCCTTCGGCGATCGAGTGCCCTTTTCAAGATTCTGCCCCCGCCGCTTGTCAGTCCCTTCCGGCACCCCTGCCTTTATCTAACCATTTTTGTGGCTCAATTATCTCTCTATGCCCACATTTGTTGAACAGCGGATTGCCCAAATTTTCATGTTCATCAACCACATGACTTAGGAATGATGAGAACTTAGCCCGAATAACTTCACTATTTCCATCATGTGTGGCTCTTGCACTCCAGTACAAGTGGTTTGTACAAGACTTTCAAATATCAATATCTACTATCAAATATCAACTTTTTACACGACCAAAAATGAAACATCTTTTTACATTAATTAAACTTTAATTTAAATGTGTGCTGCCATATTTCTTGTCCCTCCAACAAGGGATTCATGCAACTAGACCCAGGACTTTGGGAAATAGCTGATTAAATATACAAATTCTCTTCTATCATATTTATATTTGTTAATTAATTTGTTATTGTTATATCCAGTAAGTGGAAACACGAGCCGGTAAGTGGAAACACTAGAGAACTCCCGCTCTCTTAGATCGGCGTATTGTGAAGTGTTGTGTTATAATTAAACTGTTATCAAATAGACTGTTCATATGGCGACGAGGATGAGATCATAAGCTAAAAATAATATATCGAAACCAACCAAGGAAGCAGGCTTACAACACGGCCACAGCGACATCATTTCCTCATCTTTACGAGGTAGGATAAGCGAATTATTTCAACAGATACGACGATACGGAATAGGGGACGCCATCTTGTTTGAAAATTATACAGGAAAACACAGATTATAATCTCAGCAGATAAACGGGGCAACATCACAGTACAAATGGCCACAGCAATATTAACAAGCATTAAAGTGTGTGTGCCAGAATTTAAACCCGAGGAATTATCGGATACGGGCAAAAACGTAGATCGACGATGGAAAGAATGGCTGGAAAACCTTGAACTAGTGCTAGACTTTGAAGGCGTAACTGACCCTGCGGAGGGAGCATCGAAAAGGAGGGCAGCACTGCTCACAGTAGGAGGACAAACCCTCAGGGAGATTTTTTCCACCCTTACAGTCAAGTTCTCACCAAAAAAGAATTTGACAGCGGATCGATACCGATTTTTTTGCACCAAGCCCACATCACCAGAGGAAACTCATGACCACTGGATAACCAGACTCCGAACAAAAGGTAAAGACTGTGAATTTGAGAACATGACATTAGATGAAGCAATTAAGCTAGTGGTCACCCTACACACTCCGTCAGACAAACTCCAACGAGACATTATAGCAAAGGATATGGATTTGAAAACACTCATAGACAGTGCCAGAGCTTTAGAGCTCACACAAAGGGACCACCTGCAATAAATGCAAGAAGAAAGGACATTTCGCAGTAGTCTGTCAATCCAAAACATACAAAGCATATAAACCGATAGAACAGCTCCAAGAAGAGGGTAGTGACAACGAAGATCCCCAGGTTTCATACAAGTTTGACCAATTGACATGGAAACTTGACCAAGTGACCGCGGACACAAAAGCAATGTCACAACCATCAGAATACAGCACCACGGTAACAATTAGAGTACAAGACCAACGGCTAAAAGTACAAGTGGACTCGGGTGCAGAAGTCAACGTTATGGATTACAAAACATACAAAACATTGCACAAACGGCCCCCACTGAGAAATTCCGGGGCAAAATTGAAACCATATGGATTAAAGCCGTTGCCAGTAAAAGGATGCTTCAAAACGAAAGTTCGAGCGAATGGGCAGAAGGTGAATGCAACATTCTATGTGACAGAGAAACCAACATCAACTCCAATTATGGGCAAGTACACAGCTTTTGATCTAGACATTTTGAAAATCAGTGTAAATGAACTTCTACAAGTACAACAACCCGAAAGGGAATTGAGCAACCCATTGCCCGAAAAGGTGACCAAACAACAAGGGACCCATATGGCATACTCAAACATGGCGAAGCAGTTGACACCTTTATCCAAAGTCACAGACTTTGTCACACAACTCCATCAACAGAAATCTACCGGCGAATCACCAGTGTCGCAAATAGTAAAAAAACACCCCAAAGTGTTCCAAGGCATTGGAAAGCACAAATATCGTCAAGTGGAGTTAATAATTGATGACTCGGTCCAACCAAAGGTTCAGGCGCAACGTAGAATTCCATTCCCAAAGAGACAGCAATTTGAAGAAATCATTCAGGAGCTCGAGGAGGCTGACATCATAGAACAAGTAGAAGGTCCAACGGAGTGGATATCCAACGTAGTGCTGACCCCGAAAGCAGATCCATCACAGCTTCGAATGAATATTGATATGACAACCGCAAACACTGCAATAAAACGCACAAGACACGTGATACCAACACTAGAGGAACTGAGGTATAAACTGAATGGTGCCACCCACTTCACTAAACTGGACATGAAACAGGGATACATGCAACTGGAGCTAAAACAGGAGTCGAGATATATGACAACATTCTATACTCATCGCGGACTTCGACGTTTTAAACGATTGAACTTTGGAACGAACTCAGCAGCAGAATTATTTCACGAAGAGATTTCGCAATGTCTGATAGACATAGACAATGCAGATAACCTGTATGATGATATCATTGTGTACGGAAAGACACAACAGGAGCACGACATAGCTCTTGCACAAGTCTTACAGAGATTCGAAGACTGTGGATTGACATTGGGACTACCCAAATGCAAGTTGGACCAGCCAGAAATTGAATTTTTTGGGATGAAATTCTCAGCAGCAGGCATGTCACCAACGGCAGACAAGGTAAAAGCCCTAATCGAAGCTCCAGCGCCCACATCAATTGCAGAGGTCCGTTCATTCCTTGGGATGGCCAACTACAGTGCCAACTTCATACAACACTACTCGGAAACCACCGCACCGCTACGGCACCTAACGAAGAAAAATGCCCGGTTTCAGTGGACGAAGGAATGCCAGAAAGCTTTCGAGACCTTGAAACAAGCAATGGCGAGCCCTCAAGTTATGTCATATTATGATCCCACCAGACCAACAGAACTCATTGTCGATGCCTCTAAATATGGACTAGCCAGCATGCTCACTCAGCTCGACCCCAAAACAGGGCAATACAAGGTAGTTCGGTATGACAGCAGGTCCACCACACAGCCTGAATCCAGGTATGCTCAAATAGAGCTCGAGAGCGCAGCAGTCGAATTTGCGATCAGAAGAAACCACATTTATCTCTATGGTCTACCAGAATTCAGCGTTATCACAGACCACAAGCCATTACTACCGCTTTACAACAGCTACCGAGCAGACATGCCCCCAAGAATACACAGGCACAAGCTCAATCTACAAGGATATACCTTCAACTTAAAACATAAACCCGGGAAAGACAACCCAACCGACTACATGTCCCGACATCCTACCCAAATACCAGATTCCAGGGAACAAAAAGAACAACAAGAGGCACAGTTGATCAATCATCACATAAAGGCCATCATCCGAGACGACCTACCTGTGGCCGTGACACTAGAACAAATGAAGACGGCCACAGGAAAAGATCCAACAATGCAACGCCTCATCCAAGCCATTCAAACAGGATACATCAGCAACCCAGACAAACAAGAGCTAATGCCATACTCACATGTTTTTAAGGAACTATCAACAGTGGAAGGACTGGTACTAAGAGGAAGTAAAATGGTAGTCCCGGAAAGTCTAAGGAACCAAGTGGTCACACTGGCACACGAGGGCCACCAGGGAATTGTCAGAACGAAACAATTTCTCAGAGCAACGACATGGTTCCCAGGAATGGACAAACGTGTGGAGAAGGAAATCGCGCACTGCATGCCATGTCAGATCACAGTGAAAACACCACAACAGGAACCACTAAAACCTACAGTGCTACCTGGTGAGCCATGGGACGTGCTGGCAACAGATCTCCATGGACCCCTTCCAACAGGGGAATATCTTCTGGTCGTCCAATGTCTATACTCGAGATATCCAGCGGTAGAAATAGTTCGATCCACCTCAGCGGATACCTGCATACCTGTTCTTGACAAGGTACTATCTCAGTTTGGAATACCTACACAAATAACAAGTGACAATGGGCCACCATATAACAGTGAAAAGTTTAGGCAATATGCCAAGTACATGGGTTTTGAACACAAAAAGAAAATACCATATGCCCCGTGGGCAAATGGCACCGCGGAGAACTTCATGAAAAACCTAGGAAAACTTATCGAAACAGCGCAAGAGGAAAAATTAAACTGGCGCCAAGAACTCCACAAATTTCTGCGTGCATATCGAGCCACTCCACATCCAATGACAAAGAAATCGCCAGCTTCTCTCCTGTTTAATGGGAGAAAATACAAAACAAGACTACCGACACCCACCAACAAAACCATACTGGTTTACGACAAGGAAGTCAGGAAGAACGACCAGATCAGCAAAAGAAATATGAAACTGCGAGCAGACAGCAAGAAGCATGTCAAAACAAGCGAGATCAAGGTCGGAGACAAAGTGCTATGTCAACAAAAACGAGGGAGAAAACACACCCCCGCCTACAGCAATGAAATAATGCGAGTCATGAAACGAAAAGGCAGTCTGATAGTAGCACGTGGGGAAACAAAGACGATAACCAGACACGTCACCTTCTTTAAGAAAGTAACAGAGGACTTTGACGTAGATACCTCGGACACCCCCTTGACAGAACTAGTACCACCCGGGAATCAACGAATAGTAGCAGACATGATTCACCCACCTGGGCAAGTACAACCAGGAAGAGAAAGACTCGAGATCGGACTACAGAACCCGGAGGCCCTGGAGCCAAGAGAGAGAGTATTAAGAGACGTGAATCCAGAACCAGTACGCGAGGCCCGGCCGGTCAGAAACAGACGACCGCCAATAAGATTTAGGGATGAAAACTATGAATATAACTTAGAGGAAAATTTAGAAGAGTAAGCATTAACTTTAAATAAGTATAAAAACGAACACGATTACCGAACAGTCAAAGTGGGTAAGATCGTATGTTGAGTTGTTGTTATAATGTTCAAGGTTACATACATGTAAACGTATAAAGAAAAGGAGGGATGTTATATCCAGTAAGTGGAAACACGAGCCGGTAAGTGGAAACACTAGAGAACTCCCGCTCTCTTAGATCGGCGTATTGTGAAGTGTTGTGTTATAATTAAACTGTTATCAAATAGACTGTTCAGTTATTAAAGTAAATTTGGGACAAATATATTCTGTTTTATTTATATTAAAATGCTACATTTGCCCCCTTTAGGAAAGGAGACCTTGCCCTACCACCTTTCCATCATACCAGACTGCAAAGTTTGGAAACTGCACGCCGGAGATTTCGAAAATTTAATAGTAAATATATAGAAAGCATAAAAAATGTGTGGGGAAGATTGTCCGCACTCAGTGCAGAAAATGCAGTCTGGCCGTCATATATAGAGGGTGGGAAAGGGTATTTTTATGAGCTGTGAATGGTCAGTATTTGTTTGTGTGAAATGCTTGATTTTAGTGTTGCGAAATGTGATTTGTTCTACAGCTGTGAGGCGTGATTGTCGATAAAAATGCTCTGTGAAATGAGAATTAAGGATATCTGTTTCGTGAACTGTGATTTTGCTTTGTTTATTTCGATCTATTTTATAATAGTCATAATAGACATGATACGCGATAATGATTTATATGATCTCACTCGATTGCACAAGAGTGAAAACTTCCGGAGGCCTTTCGGAGGTTGTCGGACGTACTCGTCAGTCAAACTTGTAAGTTATGATGTAGTTTTTAACTGACATGTAGAGAAGTTAGAGAACCTAAAGCATATATACTGTACCATGCATTAAACATACTCTTGATAAACCTATTATTATTATATTATAATATTATATTATTATTATACTATTATTACTATGTTATTATATCATAATTTTTCCGTGAAATTGCTTTTTTTAAGACATGTGAATCGTGAAACGGCTTTTTTTCGTTGTGAAACATGACCCATACCCCCCTTTCCCACCCTCTATATACCATATAACTACAATTTCTAAAGTTGAGTTATTTTCATGTTTTATTGAATCATTGTAGATCATTTTCATTTTCCGAGAATTTATTATAAATAAATAAATTAACAGTCAGTAACTGATTGAAATGAAAACATTTAACAACTAGAGGGCACTCAGAGACTGCATACCTCCGCCTACACGCAAAATATTGAAGTAATCGATTGTTATTAGAATTTGAATGGCTGGTGCATATATTACTGTATGCACGTCCTAATTACGCATTCAGTATAAGTTTTATTTAATTGACCGGGAAAAGCAAGACAAACTTTTGTTATTTCTCATTCAATTTTTAACCAAATTCAACCAAATTTTAATCAGTTCTTCCTTAGCCGATGGGAAATGCACTCACAAAATTTGGTACGGATATGTTTGGTATTTCTTGAGTTATCGTGCTCACAGACAAACACACACACATACACACACACACACACACATACACATACACACACACACACACACACATACAAACCCAGATGATTACATAACCTCCTGGCGGAGGTAATTATTCACCGAAGGCGGTGTGATTATCAGAGAATATTCGCCGAGACAAAGTCAAGGTGAATATTCCCTAATCATCACTGAGCCTGAGCCAAAATAATTGTTTTGGCAAGGAAAGAAAGAAAGAATAGAATATCAATTCGAATCTATTTTAGTAAATTCTGTACTAAATTATGCACTATTAATGTTAAAGGGAACTCCAGTCCCAAAACAAGTTGGGTTTAATAAAAGATTATGTATACCCTTCAATATATTGTTCCTGAAGTATATCGGTCCAAATCGTTTTAGTAAAAGAGAAATCACTCGTCAAAGTTAGCAAATTTTGCAAATTTCGACGCCATGTTGTTCTTTTACGTGCAAGTGAATTTGGTCAGCGCCCTTATTTGTGACGTCATTGCGTACTTCTTCTGTTGCGGGAATTTAAAATAATAGTGGTGCACTATACTATAACCTGAAATTTACAGAATTAAAAGTTTATATAACAAAAAATGCTGCATTGTACTGTGCCTTTGTGCACAAATGGCAGTCGAAAGGCCAAAGGAACAGATATAAGTTATCATAGGTTGCCAAATGGGCCGCTCAGAAGTGTTTGGTTGCGTAATTTACGTAGAGAGAACCCTTGTGAGCGTGCGAATACGTATGTCTGCAGCACACATTTTGCACCTGATTGTTTTGAACCGAATGCTGAAGTAATTCCTGGTTTCAATAAACGTAAAACGCTGAAGCCATCAGCAGTGCCAACTACGTTTGCCTTTCCAACAAAGGGCAATGAAAACAACACAAGATTATCAAGTGTGAAACAAATACGAAATCGGACAAGAAAGGTTTCGAGATTCCTTATCTCACATACTGTATGGTATTTCATTTACTAATCAATATACAAACAATCCTGGTGCTTTGTGAACAAAATGTATACACAATGTTGTAAATGTTGTTAATATAAGAATATAATTTTAATATACATTTAAAGAATACTTCAAAAACAAAATTTGTACAAATTCATTATCTAGTAGTACTATTACATTAATTGTAACTTAAGGTTTGCAACATTGACAAAATTATTTCCCTCTATATAAAATGAATGTGCCAAATAACATGTTTTATTTTAATTTGAAATTTTAATAGAACATTTTTACCCATGAACTGGTTACAATTTAACATTTGGGAACTTTAGGATATTGTTGTATTTTACCAGGGGTCAATATATTTGGGATTGAATTGAAATTTGGCATATTTACTCTTTAAAATGTGTGCTATATCATGTGACACTATTTAGATTTCACTATTTGATGCCATTCACAACTTATAGATCAATTAAGAATAAATTAACTGGTTAAAAATTGAAATTATTCAAAAAGTTTGATTTTTGGTTCAAATTTGTTTTGAAAGTATATTTTAAGAATTTGAAGATTGTCACATAATAGCCCAGGTTCTAAGTGTTGTAAAAATGTATCATTTACTAAATTATGATAGTTGGTTCTCAAAAAATTGTGTTCACAATTCAACCTAATTATGTGTTCATTAGTGGCCGCCATATTGGATAATTAGTCTAATTAGTGACTTTTGGAAATTTTGTTTTATTTACTATTTTTCACATGTTAATCCTTTTAAAATATGCTAACTTTAAGCTAATACCTGTAAAATTGAAGAAAAAAAATCGTTAAAAGGGGTATAACCACCTTATTAAACGACAGTGTGGATGTATGTGGTGAAAGGGGGGTGTGATAGTCCTGGGTATTCGGCTAAATATGGCACATATACCCTGATGGATGCGAAAACAAACTTGATAATTGAATTTAGCCTTGTTCAAGTGACAGAGGTAACATCGTCTAATGCAATGGAATATGAAGGCTGTAAGAGAACACTAAATTCAATTATCAAGAAGATTCCAATCCGATGTCTTACAACAGATCATCACACAACAATCACAGTGAAGATGAGGACAAACTATTCAAACATTGTTCACCAGTATGATGTGTGGCATCTTTGCAAGTGGGTGACCAAAAAGCTGTCAAAGAAGGCAAAAAAAGAAAGATTGTCAAGAGTTACTGCCATGGTTTCCAACCATTTATGGTGGTGGTCTGGAACATGTGAGCAGAATGCAGATATCCTAAGGGATTGGTTGTCCTTGTTGCATCACATCACTGGTGAACACTGTTGGAGGGCCTCCAAGGAATTTAAATTAGTAAAAAAATGTGGCCACCCTAGAACAAGTAGAAAAGACCAAAAAGAGATTGTATAGGTTGAAAATGGTTCCCCTGCTCATGTTGCTTTGTAGGAAGTCATCACAAACAAAAAGCTGCTGAAAGATCTGACAAAGCTAACAGAATTCCACCACACTGGTGAGTTAGAGTCATACCATTCCCTTATGACAAAATATGCACCTAAACGTGAGCACTTTTGTTATAATGGAATGGTGGCTCGAACTCAGCTAGCCGTTTTGGACCACAATGCAAATGTGAACAGAACCCAGGCAGAAGTGAAGAAAGGTCAAATTTCTCACTCTCAGGATATGAGGGTATAAAATTCTCAGGGTATGGCTGTATATTTTTTATTAGTCAAGGAATATTGCACCCTAGTGCACCATACTTTGTTATTTTACTCTGCCTGATGCCAGATGATTTTTCTTGTTAATTAAGACTCCTTTGCATGAATAGGTTAAACTATCTAGCTGATGAAAGAATCCTGAGTAGTAAAATAATCTTACATTTGATAGTAAGAGTAAAATAATAAAGTAGGGTACAGTTTGTTGCCCAGTATGTATGCGGTCAGTACCGGTATCCGGTCAAAAAAAAAATTTCCGAATTGGATCGTCGAATAGTTGACAAAATCGCAAACGGATTAATCCGACTCAAAGCCGACCATTTCCTTATTTGGATGATCATTTTGGCGGGCCTCAAATCACTTCTTTCTCTTCGCGACAAACAACATTTAACAGGTGAGTGTGTTTAAAATCATTAAAATGGTCGCTCTTTACAATATGGTAAACAGTCCCTGTGTAAGTAAATCGTTCATTTTGTAGTACATGTTCATATCGAGTGTTTATGAACAATAAAAATGGAGACCAAAGGTCATAAATATGTAAAATCATTAATAATTCATTGTGGCAGTAATTTGCTTCTCAGGTTACATGCGATGTAAAGTAGTGCTCAATTTCCCATGTATTGTGCCATTATACGGTCAATACAACTACAGAATTAGAAAACCGATCAGTTACAATGTAGGCTGATTTCCTTTGAATTAATTTTAATATTTTGAAAGGGTTTGATATATATTTCAAGGACAAAGTATATACAGTTAGGAACGGACCATTAGAAAAGTGATTTGGGGGGGGGATTTCTAAAAGGCAATATATATTTTTTTGTACACCTATAGAAGTAATATATTTTTTTTCTCACTTGATGACTGGAAATTTATAGGCCTATCTTCCAAGCTATGAATTTTTTTTGCACTATGCCTGGGAAGATTTTTTTCCCCTAATTTTTTTCTGGGAATAATTTTTTTTGGTTTTGCCCCCCCCCCCCACCCCCATCACTTTTCTAATGGTCCGTCCCTTAGCCAGCTAGATAAGTAGATATTTTTTACAATTTAGGTCACTACTTTATGCAAAATAATATATTCAATCAAATGGCATCTAACTGCTGAAAATGAATCCGAATATAGAATTATACTTAATACATAGTTTTATAAACAATATATCAATTTAAACATTTTTGGATGAAGGGCTTTCAAGGTCCATGTATAAAGTAGTCCAGGAATGGCATATTATTATTCGCACAGGGGGTTGAGGACACTGGAAAATGCAGGGGGAGGGGTGCAAAAAAAGGCCTTGGAAAATCCAGGGGGAAAGGGTGAAAAAGACAGCAGAAATCCAGGGGGTGGGGTGATTAGAGACCAAAATCCATGGAATGGTCTGCGATTAAAGCCATTTTCCAGGGGTATCTGTCAATAAATTCCTTGGAAATTCCAGGGAAGGGGGTAATAAACTGAATTCCAGGCAGTTACAATTTAGCTGGTAAAATGATGTCTTCACCCCCCGCCCCTGTGCGAAAAATAAATACAATCTGCCAATGTGGGAGTACCCCTAGTAGTACATAATTTTTCGAGCACTTATATTTGAAGGTTTATTAGAGGGGGCTTATATTTTTTAAATCCATAAAATGATATGATTTTTTTTCAAGCATGACATAATGTATATTTAACAACAGCAAATCTTTAATAATAACACACAGTTTTACAATGTATTTGTGATAATAGTGGGGGTGCATGGGCTTAATAAATGTATTTTTTCATCTAAAAAGAGACTTATTGGAGATAGAGAATTATTTAAGAGTATGTCTAAACTCTACAGTAAATATAGTGATAAGGTTAAAGTCAATTCCTTACCTTGTTCACAGGGAGAGAGGTGGGGTGGGGTATGAGGCTTAATTGACTCATGCAATGTTTTTCTAAACTATGTCATAGCCACATGCTCACGTTAGAAAAATCATATTGATCACTGATGGAATGCCAAGTGGGAACAAATACCTCTAATGTAACTGATAAATCAGAAAAATACTTGAGGGCAATGAAGGATGTGAAAGATGGAGGATTAAGCACAAGAAAGGCTGCTGAGAAATGGGGGTTAAAAAGAACAGCTCTTCAGTCCAGGATAAATGGGAAAGTGGCATACAACAGGCACAAAGGTCCTTCACCAATTTCAACCAAATCAGAAGAAACTCAAATTGCAGATTGGCTTATTGAAATGTCTAACCGTGGGTTTGGTGTTTCGAAGAGTGATTTTTTGCAAACTGTTAAGAATTTTTTAGACAAGGATGGTCGATCAACACCGTTTAAAAACAATAAACCAGGAAATAAATGGTTTTGAAGTTATATGAAGAGAAATCCCCAAGTTAAGGTTCGAAAAGTAAGACCTCTTGAAAAGAAAAGGGCAAGAATCACTCAAGAGGATGTGGATAAGTGGTTTTCAGAGTATCAAGAGTTCTTGTTAAAAAAAAATTTGATTCATCAACCGGGACAAATATGGAACTGTGATGAGACTGGATTTGACTTGAATGGTCGTGTTGGCAAAGTTATTGGTCCCTCTAAGCAAAAAGAGGCACCATATCAAGTAATGTCTGGTAATATGAAGCGTATTACTATGCTTCCTTGTTTCAACGCCAGTGGACAATGGATGCCTCCTTATTTTATATTTCCAGGAAAACGAATTCCAGCTACTTATAACCCTTTGGAAGGAGGAGTAGATGGCAGCGTTTTTTCCATGACCGAGTCAGGTTACATGAACACTGAAACATTCTATATGTGGCTGGCAAACCACTTTATCCCAAACTTGCCACCAAAAAGACCGGTTCTTCTTCTTGTCGATAGTCATGACTCTCACCTTCATTTGGCTACCTTTGAACTTGCAGAAAAAAAGGTATATATTTATATGCTTTATTAAAGAATGCAACACAAATTGTGCAGCCTGCTGATGTGGGGTTATTTGGCAGTATGAAACGAAGCTAGTACAAATCAGTAAGAGAATATACACAGCAAAATCCCAATGCAGATATTACTAAGAAGAACTTCTGTTCTGTTTTAAAGTCTATGTGGGAAGATGTCATGTGCCCTTCTATCCTTACAGCTGCATTCCGTAAATCTGGCATTTACCCACTTGATAAAAGCGAAGTTTCAAAAGGGTTATTGGGTCCATCCAATCAATCGTTTGATGCCAACCAGCGGGTTGACAAAGATAGCACCTCTCCTTCACTGCAAGCATTTGAAGCACTAGATGCTGCACTTTCAACTCCATCACGGGCTAAGTACAGACGTAGAATTGAGGAAGGATACGACTTGAACGGAAGTCCCACATTTAGCGCTTGGAATAAGCTATACAAGTCAGCAAATCCATCACATGCTCATCATGACGGTAAAGGAGAAACTTCTCAGACTTCTCAACGGTCACACCATGCAGAAAAACCCATTGAGCCACACCAGCCTTCTTCATCTACAGAATCCAACGTCTTGAAAGAAATCCTTACATCCTTCTTCATCTACACAATCCAACCAAAGGGCCCGCCAAAGAGAGTAAATGCAAAAAGAACCATACCAAACTTTATTAGTGGTCCAACATCCAAACAAATTCTTCTGGATGAAAAATTAAAGAAGGCCCGACAGTTAGCAGATAAGCAGAAAAGGCTATACGAAACGCAGCAAAGAAAGGAGGAAAAGCGAAAGAAAGTGGAAGATGAAAAAATCAGAAAAGAGAAGAAGAAGCAAGAGAAAGAGAGGATGAAAGAACAAAAACAGAAAACGAGAAATATAAAGGGAGCGAAGAAAACCTCTTCATGTGGGAGAAGTGATGGGAGAATGCACAGAAACCTTAAAAGAACTTGTCTAACATTTAGTAATGACACAGAAAGCATTGATGAGAATATCTGCAGTATGTGCTCAGAGGAATATTTGCCCATCGATGATGAAAACAATCCTTGGGTTATGTGTGATTCGTGCAATCTCTGGATGCACATAGAATGTATTCCCATGGAATTTGACGTTGACGTTTTGCACTCGGAAGAACCGTTCTATTGCCATCAGTGTAACTTTTGAGAACATTTATTGATGGCATTGTGTTTATTTTAATATGTACATTCCACATGTCTAGTTCATGTGAACATTATATATGAACGAACAAGTATATGCTTAACTTTTAATTCTTAAACATATATGTATAAAACTGTTAGTCTTGGGTGGTTCAGAGTCTGCTTCAGCATACAAAAAGCTCTCTGAGTTGTTGGATAACATGCAAGCATGTAAAATAGGAATTCAAAGTAGTGGTGACTGAAAGGCCTTTGCTCGAAACGTCGAGAACTATTTTCCTATTTTACAGACTTGCCTGTTATCCAACAACTCGGAGATCTTTATGTATGAAACTGGTATTTTTTAAACCCATTTGGTAAGATATTCGGCCTTTGTGTGACGATTCAGAAACAAACTATTTGTCCAATTCGAAAATCCTTGTCAGTGCATGTCTATATATATAGCTAGTACTGTTCTCTATTTGCAATAGGATGAGACTCATCATTATCAGCAACGCTGTGATTAAAGGTTATCACGAATTCCAAATAAGACCACCTCAAAATATTTTACTACCTGTCACTAAAGAATATGGAAATCGTCATGATTCACATTCATGTTTGGTGTGGATCCCCGAGATTGATAAAATTCCAAAAGATTTATGGAATCATGTAACAGATGAAAAACGTGGAGAGAGAGTTCGGACTATTGCAGGGCTACCCATTGGACGAGTGCCCAGGGGGCTTTCTGAATGTTTTTTGATCATACTGAAAAACTCCAAAGTTGACTGTGTTGAGTGGTATGTGCAATTACATGTTTTTGATGAATGAAATAAGAGAATGGTTTAAGTAATAAAGGTGCAATGTGCGCCACCGCCCTGGTCCGCCCTTTGTTACTTTGTCTAACGCCAGACAATTTTACTTGTCAAGAGAAAATAATTGCACGTTAACAGGTTAAATGTACACTAAGTCATTAATATACAATATGTTTGTTTCAGTGAACAGACAGGGAATCCTTGCAAAAGTTTTAATCCTTGGCCACCTCAACATGCACCAGGAGGAGGAGCAGTCATTCCATGCTCGTACAGAATACAACTGAAAGATTCCAATGTATGTGACGACATACTTAAGCTGGTTAATGAAGCTGTTCAAAAAATGGAAGAAAAAACTGTATTGCAAATAAATTTGTATTAAAAAATGTTTTGTTATTGTTTATATTGACCTCTTTCCGTGTTAGCAATACAAATAAGTGCAAGGGCTAGTTCAAATTTATACCTAAAACCTGTCCATTAAAAGGTGTGTTTTTCGGTGTCATGACAAGTGGAATATTATCTCTGTAGCCAAGTGATGGAGATATATATCTTCGGGGAGGATCGTGACAGGCAAACATACTTACATTTGTGTGTTTTCCCGCTTAAAACATGCCTAATAGAGGTGACCTGTTATTAGAATATGTGGCCGCATACTGGGTAGCCTGCGTAGCAGACGGTTTTTAGGGGAGGTTGCGGGCGGGGAAAATTAGGGCGGGAAAAGTTAGGCGGCAGGGGGAAAAACCATCTGCCGGGTTTCTATATGATTTCGTTTGCCGCCCCTTTCACGCCCATATTAAAAGTTTATTCCAACAGCCAATCAGAGTTCAACTTTTGCAATATTTACATTACGCTATGAAATTGATATGTTGCAAAAGTTGCAAATACTAGCGAAGTCAGACAGATACGTGAATTGTAAACAAAGTGCCGTAGGCTTAAAAAATGAGATGTGTGGAGTATGAGTGAGCAAGATACTCCAAAGAAGACCGTCAACAAAGGAAGAAGGCAAAAACCTTTGTCTGTGAATGATTTTTGCAGGTTGTGTAAATGTCCTTTGAAATTGAAATTCGGAAATTTTGAGAAAACCTCATACGTATCTTCTGAACAGCTTTTCAAGCCACCATATAGGAAAGATTGTAGTGAGAAGACTTTGTGTGAACTGCTGACGTTGTTAAATATATTCGTTGAAAGGAAAGCAGAGTTATCTGAACGGGTTTGCAAATCTTGTGGTCGGAAAATACGCAATGCAAACGGCCTGTTTGCGTGGATAATTTCTTTGGTCAACGTGCCTAATTTTGACGATGAAAACCCTAGCAGAGAGAAACGACTATTACTGACAACAGTAGATAGCCCTGAATGCAGTCTGCAAGCAAAAAAACAACCGAAACCTTCAATCGAAAGAAGGAGATGCGCCAAAAAATCATTGTTTTCAAACGACAATATTAGGGATTCAGAATCAAAAACAACTGAAGGTGATGCCGACGAAAATAATGAAAAAGATGATGGTGCTGCCGATAATTTTCTAGCGGCAATGAACATCGAACAGCTTGTTCACCAAAAAACGACCACCCAAGTAAAAGTTGTCATTGCTAGTCCCAATGGTCGGGTGCAGAAAAGCCATGAATTTGATGACATAACAAAATCGTTAATAGTAAACGTCGTGAATAAAAAATGGAAAACTGTTGCGAACGTATTTTACAAACATCCATGTTTGCGAAAGGAATTGTTTGAGCCACTGAGAAAAGCAGTTGCCGCTGAATTTAAGATGTATTGCAGCAATAGTTCGGAATCAATGATGAAACAGAATAGTCCTGAGGACTTGGAATCATTTTCGAACAAGTTTTTAGTTAATGAGGTGCGACAATCGTGTCCACTTTGGATGGCTTGTGTGTCGGGCGCATGCAATGCTATAAACTCTGAAATGAAAGTAAAAGAAATCAACGCGATTGCTTTGGCCTCCGCCGTCGCAGCCCGATGTCGAAATCAAAAGATGTCAGCAGTGGCATATCGCATTTCTTCTCTTCTAATTCATAGCGGTACTAAATACAATGACATTCGGCGTTTGAATAAACTTTCTGTTTGCATGTCTCCTGAAATGATTATCGAGATGGAAAGGAAAATGGGTGAAAGCTGCGAAAGAAAGGTTCTTGTTTGGAAGAAAGAGATCGAAAACAACCGAAAAGCCATGCTACTTCTGGGAGAAACAAAGGAAAAACAAGTCTGTGTGCCAAACGAGGATGATATGGAAGTTGAATCTACAGTATGTTTTTCTAAGGAAACAGTATCCGATTATACAACATTTGCTACTGACACTTATAATCATTGCAAGGAAGTGCTAAAAGCAGTTGCTAACAGCGATTGCACTATCAACGATGACCATTTGGTAGAAGCAATAAACTTTTTGTCATGCGAAAAGCTTCCATTGTACAAGTAAGTAATTGTCACTTTTATTTCGACTTGTGTTTAGAAAACAAATGAATTATAATATAAATGTACACTAATTGTGTACTCTATCAATTATACGCCAGCGAAAAATGTTCCTTTTATAATATTTGTTTTTGTGACATGTATATAAATTAGTTTATTGCAAAGCGTTATATTTCTATTTTTAAATCGTACTCTGAAGCATACAAAGAATCTATTAATGTTTATTTATGTTATGTTATTTGTAAACATAACATACGATTTCTAAAAAAGGGCACAATTTTCAACACATTTCGAAATGTTTTATCACTTTTATGGTTGTTCATCTGTGGACTCTATGCGGGAGTAGCAAAAACAATATGGGCCTAATGCCTATGAGTCAAAAAGAAAGCCTATGCGTTTTGGAAATGTCATTATAATAGAATTTTTGTTTTAATTTTTTTGTGTAGATTAGTCGGTGACAACATTGACATTAATATTCAAGCAAAGATTCAAAGTCAGACACATACAAACCGTTCCATCCATTGGACCCAACAGTATGCAGTGCCGCCCAGAGGGGGGGGCAAAGGGGGCAATTTGCCCCGGGCCCCGAGTTGCTGGGGGCCCCTGAAAAATTTTTGTAGGGGCCCCGCCTTTTTTGTGTGTTAAATATTTCCGCGCAAAGGACAAGATATCTGTTTTCTTGGGCTAAGTACATAATTTTGGCCTAAAAAAATGAGATAAAGTCACTCGAAAGCGTTTGCAACGTACGCGTCCGGCAAAATTTTGCGTCCGAAAAATTTTTTTTACCTCTAAAATGGTACACTGACCGAAAAATTTTTGGCGACGGGGGGGGAAGGGAGGTCGCCAGAAAAATTATTTTAGGTAGGGCCCCCTAAAAAAAAATTGCCCCGGGCCCCCGCCAACCTCTGGGCGGCCCTGACAGTATGCAATCCGAAATCGCATAAACAAGCCATCATTTGACACGAAAAGTCCACAGATACCCTTAAAAGACATCGACTTAATCCAGTTGCTGCCTGATAAAAAAGTCCAGCAAAACCTAAAGATGAGATGGGCATCGTTGGTGGGGAGGGTTATTTGCAAATACTTGGCAAAGTTCAAACACTTAAACAGTGTTGCTGTGTACCATATCAATCATGCATACTCAAAAGAAATGGCATCTAAATCTGACCGAGTAAGCGAATATTCATCTGTCTGTGAATGGTGAAATAAAACAATTATTGGTACATTCTCAATATATAAGCAACCAAAATAGGTTTGGGTTAGGATGGGGTTAGGATAGTCAGTTTATTTACTATATCCGTATTTAAGTTGTTGATATATCGAGAAAGCACTCAATTATTGAAAAATATTCTAAATCAATGATTGTATTGTGGTTTTTTTTGTATATATTTATAGTGCAGTCTTGGTATCAGTTTCTCCAACTCCAATGTGGCAAGTGAGATTGCACAGCTGCTCCAAGTAAATCAAAAGAAATACATTCCAAACTGCACTATTTCTGATGAAAAGATCATTTTAGAAACTGTGCCACTGCATGGGGACCAACTATTTGAAGAGAGGGCAAGGAATACAAAATGGACCTATCAGGATGTTGATAATGCCTGGGATCGAATTGATGGAATTTCTACCGAGTTTGCAGATTGGCATGCAAAACTTAACTTGTTCATGGTTAGTTGTCATAAATACAAAGCTACTATATTTGTTTATGTTTAGTGAGAGCCTGAGAGGTAGGATTATGGTATTTAAAGTTTATCTGAAAAAAGCCTTTAACTATGTACCACCATGGCTGTGCATTTATCTTCATGACCAAATGTAATTGCCATTAGTGCCAAGTGTTTACCGTACTCTTTACAACATTGGTGTATTATCTAGTAACACAAATGGATGGTTATATATAGTTGACTGGTTAACCTACTTAGTGTAGAGTTAGCATTTTTTTCAGAGATTGAACCATAATCGATAGGTAAAATTGTGTGGCTTATTAGCAATGCAAATTATCCTTATTTAGGTTGAGTTTGACACATTCACTAATCACTCTTCAGTATCTGAGATTGGCACTTCCCGAGCTAGCATGAACAGATCGAACAAGACAAATGCAAGTAAAGGTGTTGAAAATCATTACAATGAGTATAAAGATTTCCATCGATGTGAAGTGGAGGCACATATATGTGCATCATTCATGAAAATGTCTGAGATGTCAAATATGGATGGTAAGGATGATACTTGGGTACAGTACAGTTGTATAACCCATAAGTATATATATATATATATATATATATATTATATCAGGGGCGGATCCAGATCGATGCCAACGATGCGAATGCATCGGTCAAAATTGAGAAATCATGTTGCTTGAAATAATATGTCGTCAATACTTAGTCAAGCACTCAGTAATAGAATATCTTTGAATCTCTCCAGCTATCAAACCGCAAATATTTGCTTAAACTTGACTCCATGTGACTGTCCATGTTGGGAATACACTATTTAGGATGAAATCCAATTTAAATTGTCTCAATAACAGTCGAAATTGTCAAAATATTAAAGTCCAATATGCGACGTGCGATCGCAAAAGTATTTTCTGTTATTTACTTTTTATTTTGCGACACTTAAGCGTGAATAATTTCGCGACAAAATATATTATTTTTTACCGCATCCTTTGACGTCACAGTAGAAAGCTGATGCATCACCTACGTCACGGTAGATTTTGTTTGCATCGATTTTCAGCCATTTTGCATCAGTGAATGCATCGGTCCCGAGTCCTTTTCCACGTAAAATCTACTGTGACATCATCAAATCTATTGTTTTAAAGCCCTACGTCGCGGTAGATTAGTCCGCTGAGCGATGCATCGCATGCAGATTGCGGGCGCTTGCATCAGTTCACTGATGCAAATTTCAAAATCAAAATCTACTGTGACGTAACGAGGCATTCGATTCAAGTCATGGCGGCAAGGATATGCAAACACATAGGCAAATGAACAAATAATGTGAAGAAATATCCCTCGAATATGATGGAGAGCAATTAAGTTACAGTCGAATTAATTACCAAGGTTTGGAATGAATTTGATCTTTCAACTGAGCAGTGAGCACAAGAATTGAAGAATATTTATACTGTGAGAATGTGAGATGCCCACTACCGCACTACGGCCACTAGGGCTCTAAAGTAAGTGGAATTTATGTATATTTTACATTGTAGTACATTGTTAATTGTTCAGTTCAAGAAGTGCATAAAGTGGAAAATTGGCTCCACAGTTAATGTAGATTTGTATGTATTTATAACATAATAATTAAAGTTTGTGTCTATTTGATACTGCTGTTCATACCAGGAGGGGGGTTGTGAGGGGGGTGGGGGGATGAGGTAGTTTGACATTTTAGACATTTTACAGTATTTACAGAGATTTGTTTGTCTGGAGGCAAACCAGCCCCATTACCAAACTTGACAGCTTGCTTTACTGAGGCAAATTTCATCTCTGTTTACATGGGATTTATATAACCTGTGCCCATGCAGACCTTCATTTTTCTCACAGCTGGCGGGCAAAGAAAAATGAAGACCTGATAAAGTCACATGTTATTAAATGTTTGTGTCCTACAACTGCCTTTATGGTTGTAACTCTGATTGCCGGCTACTTCTAGCATGAGTATTCATGCCATATTTAATGTATTTTTTTTATATTTTGGTTAGTGCTATATATAATTAAATAATGATAGATTAAATAGTGATTGTAACTATATTTAGCTTGTTGTTAAATTATGTGAAATAATTTGACATTGCGCCTGGCACATTTTGATTGGATACCGGTACTAAAAATAAAACTTTGGTGTCGTTCAAGACTTGCATCAGGCTCTGCATGTACTGTATGTAATTACAATGCATAATAATATTGCAGGTTAATTAACCCATTGAGTCGCATTGCACCCTGATGCACCCTATTTTAGTATTTTACTCTGTCTAACGCCAGATGATTTTACTCATCAAGGGGAGAGCGCTGGCGCTTAATGGGTTAATGAGCTGGATTTCTAATAGTGATGCAATATTGGTTAGAAAACATTACATTTCATTTTATATGGAAATGAGCTGGCATGCCTCATGACAAGAGTATAATTGCTTTGCACTGCCTGAGTTATTGGGCAATTACTGTACACTGGATATTTTGCAAACAAAGATCATTACCTGGGCGTGCTCGTTGGTACATATGCTTTGTCGGTGCAAATATAATTTGATATAAGCTGTATATGTCATTCTGTTGACAAATTTTAATCTTAGAATGATAAAATGATGGACGTTATAAATACTGTATATAACTGCATGTAACTGGTGTATATAGGTTATAATTATGAAATTTACTCACAAAAGTGGTATAGATTTAATTAAATTATATATATTTGTAGTGCTTAATTCTCCCAATACTATGTTTTGGATAGCCAGCATGGCTCTCTGAGGATTACCATTGATAAGTGTACGGATATATTTGACGAAGATGTGCATTTATATAGTAACACAGGGAAAATATTGATCAATACTACTGCGCAGCCTTTCTTTCTACATTGACATCATCTTAAAAGAGTACTATATTAATATATTAGTTGAAAGGCAGGCAAAAGGGGACTGATAGAAGACATCTGATGATTCAATTATGTCATGATATCATATATTGTTTATCATTGTACAGTTTGGTAGGTTCATTTGACAAACAATTTTCAACTAAGATAGTTCATTAAATCAATTTACACACAGTATCACTATATATATATATATATATATATATATATATATATATATATATATATATATATATATATATATATATATATATATATATATATATATATAGACTATATATATATATATATATATATATATATATATATATATATATATATATATATATATATATATATATATAGATAGATATAGATATAGATATAGATATAGATATAGATATAGATATAGATATAGATATAGATAGATATAGATATATATAGATATATAGATAGATAGATAGATAGATAGATAGATATAGATATATATATATATATATATATATATATATATATATATATATATATATATATATATATATATATATATATATATATAGATATAGATAGAGATAGAGATAGAGATAGAGATAGAGATATATATAGAGATATATATAGAGATATAT